TAGTACCCCTTACTTTTACCCCCTCCTTCCCCCTTCCCTCTTCTCTAGTACCCCTTCCTTTTACCCCTCCTTCCCCTTCCCTCTTCTCTAGTACCTTCCTTTACCCCTCCTTCCTTCCTCTTCTCTGTTTCCCTTCCTTTTGCCCCTCCTTCCCCTTCCCTCTCTCTAGTACCCCTTCCTTTTGCCCTCAGCCCCCACCTTCCTGCCTCAAGTGCCCTTCCTTTTACCTCCTTTGCTTCCCTCTTCTCCTAGGCCTTCCTTTTCCCCTCCTTCCCCTTCCTCTTCTCTAGTACCCCTTCCTTTTGCCCCCCTCCTTCCCCTTCCTCTTCTCCTATTGCCCCTTGCTTCCCCCTCCTTCCCCTCCCTCTTCTCTAGTGCCCCTTCCTTTTACCCTCTTCCCTTCCTCTTCTCTAGTACCCCTTCTTTACCCTCCTTCCCCTCCCTCTCCTCATGCCCTTTCTTTTACCCCTCCTTCCCCTCCCCTCTTCTCTACTCCTTTCCCTTTCCCCTCCTTGCCCTCCATTGCTTTCCTTCCCTTCCCCTGTCCCTTCTTTACCTCCCTCTTCCTTCCCCCGTCCCCAGGCTCCTTTGCCCCTCCTCCTTCTTCCTTTACCCTCTCCCCTCTCCTCTGCCCCTCCTCCTCACCCAGCCTTGCCCTTCCCTCCCTCTACTACCCATTCCTTTTTCCCCTCCTCCCTCCTCCCCCTCTCACCCTCCCTACCCTTCTCCTCCTCTTCCCCTCTCTCCTCCAGAAAAAATCTAGGAGTTGAAATAGGATTAATTACATGGAACTAATACAATTTGTGGGATTTTGTATTTTTGTATTCTATTATGGAAATGTGTGTGTGTGTGTGGGTGTGTGTGTGCGTGTGCGTGCGTGTGTGTGTGTAAATAACTAGTTTCATAGTGATTAAACCATTTTTATAGCATTAGGCTGTGTGTGTTTTATTTTTGGGGGAGAGAGAGAGAGAGAGAGAGGTATACATATATGATTCATACATAACAATAACTATAAACAAATATGCATGATTTATGTATACATGGCTCATACACTAGTAATATACATACGATCATACATACTCTCCTGGGTGTCTTTAAATTGAATTGATTTTATGAATATGATTTCCATTTCAATATTGATGCAAATTATAATTATTTTGCGTACAAGGTTGGGTAATTATAGGAGCCACTCCCTCTCTCTTTTAATGATACTCATCAACTCGTTATTTGAAATGATAATGACGATAATTGTCTTAATGATGTGTATGTATATATTTATAGAGAGAGGTCATAGGTAGATTGATTGGTAATGGAGATAGAGAGTGGGACGGGCAGCACTCAGTCATTACATAGGTGTATGGTAATGGCGTCTGCCTGATATTGCGTGACCTTAATAAAAAGATTGCATGTTATTGTTGGTGTGTGTGTGTGTTATTGTGCTGTGTGTGTGTGTGTGTGTGTTGTGTGTGTGTGTGTGTGTGTGTGCATTAAAATAAAACAATAATAATAATAACACCATTTTTTATGGTACCCGACCACCCTCCCCCCTCCCCACCCTCCCCCACCCCTCCCCCCCTCCCCCCCTCGGTAGGTGAATCAATGAGTTATTTTAAACAAAATTGAATTAACATTAACAGATGATTCTTATAACATTTCAGCTATGGTCAACAACATTTTTTTTTAACAGCAAACAAGGTCGTTTTGGCCCAGAGATAGGGTGGTTAGGTGTTCATTTAATGATATGGGTTTTAATATACTGATGAATTTATACTCATAATTACAAATTTAGAATTTATTTTGAATTTGAATTATGTAATATCATAATTCTCCCTCCTTCCTTCCTTCCCCCTTCCTTCCTTCCTTCCTTCCTTCCTTCCTTCTTCCTTCTTCCTTCCTACACTTTTCTTCCTCCCCTCCTCTTCTTCCCTTCTCCTCCTCTTCCCTCTCCTTCCCCTCTTCCCCCTCTTCCCTCCCATCCCCCTCCTCCTCCTCCTCCCCTCCTCCTCCTCTCCCCTCCCTCCTCCTCTTCCTCTTCCTCTTCCTCCTCCTCCCCTCCTCCTCCTCCCTATTCACTCCTCCTCCTCCTCCTCCTACAAGCAGTCACAGCTCCTTATCTAAATGGGCAATGATAATGACCCTCGTAAATGACAGTAAATTGTAGTGTTTGTCTCAATCTCATGAGGGTGCAGAGGCGAGAAAACATAGAGAGACCGTTGTGGCGGGCGTGGGGAGGGTGTGTGCTGGCGTAGGGGGGGCGTGGGAGGAGTATGGAAAGGCAATGTCAGGCGTGGAGAACGTGGGAAAGAAGGGTTCGCTTTCTTCATGATATATAATCGTGTTTACCTCCTCAGCCGTGACGGCTTAATCTCTGTATCACATCGGCTTTTCCGCTCTTCTACCACCACAAGATCTCTCTCTCTCTCTCTCCTCTCTCTCTCTCTCTCTCTCTCTCTCTCTACCTCTCTCTCTCTCTCTCTCTCTCTCTCTCTCTCTCTCTCTCTCTCTTCTCATCCCTATCCACGTCCTTCCTCTCCTCAGTCTTCTTTCCCTTTCCACCTCTTTCGTTTGCCTCTCTCCTCTCTTCCCTCCTCCACTCCCTACCTCCTCCTCCTTCCTCCTCCCTCCTTCTCCTCCTCCTCCCCTACCCTCCCCTCACCCTCCCTACCTCCTACCTCCCTCCCTACCCTCCTACCTCCTCCCTCCCTCCTCCTCCCTCCTCCCCTCCCTCCCTCTCCCCTCCCTCCCTACCCCTCCCTCCATGCCATTCCTTTACCTTCTCCCTCATTTTTCTGCTCCACCTCTCCCCCCCTTCCTTCCCCTTTCTCTCTCCTTCACACCTTCCTTTCCTTCCCTTCCTCTTTCCTCCAGCCCACCACCTTCCCTTCCTTCCCTTCCTCTCCTCATCAGTACCTCTACATATATACATCTTACTTGGCCAGTCTAAAAATTAAAATTGGCCGTTAATGGTAGGAAAAAAATAACTCTGGTGCTGTTGATCTGGGAAAAATATAGACGTTCAGATTATTTTCGTCTCTAAAAATATTAAAACTTTATCTTAGGAAATTTTGAATTCTGATTTTGATTCTCGAAAAGTACTATAGTTTTGATGTTGGTTTTTTGAAAATGATTAGAACTATAACTTTGGTTTTATAGAACGGTATGGAGACGATAATACTGCTAAATAATAATAATAATAATAATAATAATAATAATAATAATAATAATAATAATACAAAAAATTAATTATATCACCAATCAAAAAAAAAGTGAGTTACTAAAATTAAGAATCACCTAAATTAAAGTTGATCCTACTCGTGTTACTTCAATTAATTAGGATTAATTTAACTCCTCCAGGTGCGTTGTCAGATGGCCCTTAAGTAGGTAAATACATAATTAAGGATATAAGTAATTTAGAAAGTACTTAAGTAAGCAATAAATGATCTATGTAAGTGAGGGAGTAGATAAGTATTGTTCAAATGTAAATAAAAGTACACACATACATACATACATACACACATACATACATACATACATACATACATACATACATACATACATACATACATACACACATACATACGTACAGACATATATACATACGTACATATATACATACATACATACATACACACATATACACATACATACATTACAGACAAACTTATGCATACATACATACATACATACATACATACATACAGCATACATACCTTTTACACATATACATACATACATACATACATACATACATACATACGTACTGAACAAGCATACACACACATACATGCAGCATACATACATACCTTTACACATACATACATACATACACACACATATATACATACATACATACATACATGTACATATACATACATACACACATACATACATACATACATACATACATACATACATACATACATACATACATACATAAACTCAAACAGTGAGACGGACATTCACACCAACAGACGGACAGACAGACAACCTTACAGGTATACAAACATAAAGGCAGACTAACAAAGATATAAACAGGTGAAGAAAAAATTCGACCAGACAGACAGACAAGTGGACCACTCTATCAGGTGTCAGGTGACGAGGGGAAGGGACACGGCTGAGGGGTCCTACTCTTCTCTCTTGTGGTGAGGGAAGAGATGAGAAACAAGGGAAAGAAAGAGAGAAATGGATAAGTAGAGAGACAGAAGAGAGACTGAGATAAAAGAGGAAAAAAGTTATACACATCACTACTATACACCATCATCACCACTATACACCATCATCACTGCAATACACCATCATTACAACAATACACCATCGTCACTACAATACACCACCATCACTACAATACACCATCATCACTACAATACACCATCATCACTACAATACACCATCATCACTACAATACACCATCATCACTACAATACACCATCATCACTACAATACACCATCATCATTACAATACACCATCATCACTACAATACACCATCATCACTACAATACACCATCATCACTACAATACACCATCATCACTACAATACACCATCATCACTACAATACACCATCATCACTACAATACACCATCATCATACAAATGCCATCATCACTACAATACACCATCATCACTACAATACACCATCATCACTACAATACACCATCATCACTACAATACACCATCATCACTACATACACCATCATCACTACAATACACCATCATCACTGCTATACATCACCATCATCACTACAGTACATATCACTACAATACACCATCATCACTACAATACACCATCATCACTACAATACACCATCATCACTACAATACACCATCATCACTACTATACACCATCATCACTACAATACACCATCATCACTGCTATACATCACCATCATCACTATACCCCATCATTACTGTAAAATCACTCAGCTGTGACGTCACTAAAAAATTTTCTCGCCATATTTTGACTTGAGGTCATGCCGCGCACAGCAGTATAATAGTAATAAAAATGGAGTGGTCCAAAAATCTCCCCCAGTTCTCACGAGCTCAAGTCAAATATCTCGCGAATACCGGAGTCCTCTTGGGTCAGGGCAACTTCGGTTCGGTATACAAGAACTACACGGTTTGGGGCGAAAGTCTTCCCCCTGTGGTCGTGAAGGTCAGCAAAAAAAAATACTTTAAGAATGACCTCGAACAAGAAACCAAGTTCCTACATTTGCTGGACGGTGCCGGGGGAGCACCCAAGCTGTTGGCATATTCTCTAGCTCTTCCAGCAATCATAACCACTTACACCGGCGACCAGACTTTGCGCCACCTCCTCCACAAGTCAAGGCGTGTTCTCTCCGATACACTGCTGCTTGAGATAGCAATTAAAATTGGCCAAAACTTAATGGAAATTCACGAGCTCAACATCGTCCACAACGACCTTCACTGTGACAACATATTGGTCACCCTACCCACTGCCAAGCAAGATTTGAAGGTGAGTATAATTGATTTTGGTTTGGGAAAGATGACCGGTGGGAACCTCGACGTGCGGCCCGGAACCGGTAAAAATCAGTATTGGATGTGTCCCCAGGTACGTGTTGGTCACCCCAGTACCACCAAGAGTGATGTCTATAGTTATGGGATCATCCTTAACCAGATCCTGGATGAACTGCAGAGTGAAATATCACAAGAACTGGCCGACTTGGTGCAAGCAACGTGTCTGTACAACTCTTGCGACAGACCACCCGTGTGTGCGCTCCTGCAGGAGCTACAGCGTACACTGGAGTACGTGAGACTCCAGGCTTCCTGAGGAGACTGTCCACCACCTGTCTTCTCCCCACCAACACCTGCATCCCTCCCTGCCAATACTTGTACCTCCCCCACCAAGTCACATCTCCCCCACCAGCAGTCACGCCTCCTCCACCAACAGTTTCACCTCCTCCACCAACAGTTTCACCTCCTCCACCAACAGTTTCACCTCCTCCACCAACAGTGTTTGAAAAAACTAAAATGGTTGTTTAAAAAAATAGAGAGAGCAGTGGTAGTCGTGTTGGTCTAAATTAGTATTAGTCATCTTCTATACCCCTGAGTCTTACACGTTAATAATAATAAGAACAAGAACAAGAACAACAAGAACAACAAGATTAATAATGTGTGTAAAGCTGACAAACCCAAACTCTCCAGCTGGCTTCATCACGTGACCACACACTGGTGGGCACTACACCGGGGTAATTACTCAAGTTTATCCCAAATACATTTCTCCATAGCAGCTGCATCCTTATCATGATCTTCAACAAACCCAACAAAAGCTTCTCCAGCGCTGATAAAAGCCACACACACACACACACACACACACACACACACACACACACACACACACACACACACACAGGTCAAAACAATGATTAAGATCTATTTTTATTGGTGAACACTAAGGCAATAAGTCAGGGCGGTTTGAGCGGCACCAATAATCTAGCTCTGGTAATTACGAGTCTCATATATAATTTGTGTTCCTGATGGTAATACAGAAAGTAAGGACGCCGGGTGTGTTTGTGGGGGGGTCAGAGTTGGTGTGGGGGTGGGGCAGGGTTCGTGTGCGTGGGGGGAGGGGTATGGGCTGATCCGGGAAGGTTAGGGTAGGTTATTATACCAGTAATGAACTATTAATTTTTGTCTCTAATTCAAAGTCATTATAGGTATTGATATCGTGACGTCATCTTTCACCAACAGGGAAAAAAATACTGCATGAAAAATTTAATACCTTTTTTTCTGGTAAATAAGTCACAATTTCATCACTTAAAAAAAAAGTAATAATAATAATAAATACTCACAATGATTCACACCTACTCAAATTTTCCATTATTATTCAAAGCTTGAAATAAGTTCATTCAGGCAGTCCTATAAAATGTTTTACTCACAAAAAAATAAATAAATTATTTGTCAATTTTTTGGCCAATTATTTCACTCACTCTTTTTCAATCGTTATTTATAGATCAGAAAAAAATATGTATTGTAGATCATTTTTCCCGCCATTTACACATTACTATTTGACACTAATTACACTAGGCAACATTTAAAAAACAAAATCCGTAACATGGTTCAGAGCAGCTTCCCTTTGGTAATTTTGAAGTGATGATTTCAAATCCGGCAATAAAAATTCTCTGCCACTTACAGTTTATTTGTTATAATAAAATAAAACCTTACAAATACAAAAACTTAAAATACTTTTTTTCCTGTTATTCCTGTCACTTTTTTCCACGTCATCACACCAAAATTCAATAAATAATGAAAACAATCATGAGACACAAAGAGTATTACATGAGCCACTGTGTTGCGTTGTCCTCCGATTGTAAACACCAGCAATAGTCCCCCATCATGACAGGGTCCCCTCTACCCTGGTACCTTTCCTCCATACGTCTAATGTCCTGATGAAATCGCTCTCCCTGTTCATCACTAACCGTCCCCAGGTTCTCAGGAAAAAAGTCAAAGTGCAAGTGTAGGAGGTGGACTTTCAGGGACATCCTGCATCCTAAGTTTTTGTAGTTTTCAAAAGTTCCTCAATAAGTTGGCAATAGTTTTCTTCCTTCTTGTGTCCAAGAAACCCCTCAACTACAGATGTGAAGGACTTCCACGCAGCTAGCTCATTTTCATTCAATTTGTTTTCAAAGTCGCCTCACGAAGTTACTTTCTTATCTGTGGGCCAACAAAGATACCCTCTTTGACCTTAGCATCACTGAGCTGTGGGAATTTTCCCCTCAAGTACATGAACCCATCACCTTGTTTGTCCACAGCCTTCACAAAATTCTTCATTAGTCCCAGCTTGATGTGTAAAGGAGGTAGAAGTACACCGTTTGGGTCTACCAAGGGAGTATATTTAACGTTGCTTTTTCCTGGAACAAACTCTTCTCTCTTTGGCCAGTCCTTTGTGTTGTAGTGTTTTTCTGTTGCTCTTCTGTCCCATAAACACATAAAACAGCAACATTTCGTGAACCCTCCTTGAAGGCCGAGTAGAAGGGCTACAACCTTCAATTCGCCGCAGATCTGCCATCTATACTCCTTGTATTTAATAACAGTCAGTATTTTCTCCATACTATCATACGTTTCCTTCAACCCTACAGTATGCGCTACTGGAACTGGGGGCTTCTGGCTCCCATTAAGGAACAATACTGCTTTCAAACTAAACTTGGAGGAATCTATGAAAAGCCGCCATTCCTTTGGCTCATGTTTTTCTCCCAACTCTGACATCAGTCCATCTACATCAGTACACACACAGGGAGTCCCGCATACTGTAGAATGAAGATAATGTAATATTTATTGACCTAAAAACATTCTTATCCGTTTCGCTATCAAGTTCCATTCCTGCAGTCTTGATGCTAAAATTTACGCCTTCAGTTCTGACAGACGGAGATCACGACAAGATCATTCAGTTCAATTTGTTCTATAAGATGTGGTTCATTGAAGTCTGGTCAATGAAAGGAGGACCATGGGATGATTCTGGGATTTCTTCCTCAATTTCCTCATCCCAAGTTGATAGCTCTTCCAAATCAGCCGGTGGTGTAGGTATAGGCAGGCCTTCACCGTGAGGAACGGGCCTTATTGCCGAAGGTACATGGGATACTCAGTTTGGTGAATTAACACAGCCTCGGCGTTGTATTCTCTCCATTCTCCTGTTCAGTATTGCTAACCTTGTATTTCATATATCCATACCAACACAAGTACGTATCTTATACTCCTACTCTACATATACACATATATCATTAAAATGTTACGTGACTAACATTTTTTATTGCCATATATGAAATCAGCCCAAAATGAATAAAGTGCAGCGTATTTGACCCATGTTACCGAACCCTTGTCAACTAGTTATTCATTCCTTTATTACGTCAATCTGCACAAGAGAATAATTCACTTTATTTTTTACTTTCTGGTTTTACATGTCTTCAGATGACATTTTCGCGGGAAATAACTTGGCGCCAAAAATCATAAGAGAAGAAAAAACAAAATCGAGTTGACGGGAAATTATTTGGCGCTAAAAGACATAACAGGCAACAGAAAATACCGGTTCGAATTGGCGCTCCATTTACCAGCCTTTAAAAAATATAGACGCGAATGATTTTAATTTGACGAGAGACACTATAAGCATCCTCACCTGATGCCGTTTTTTGTTCGATTGTGAGAAAGAAAATGTGAAACGGGACATTGAGTAAAGCAAGAAATTATCAAGCCTCTCCCTCTCCCTCTCCCTCTCCCCTTCCCTTTCCTTCCCCTCCCTTCTTCGTCCTATTTCCCCTATCTTCCATTTATCACCCCTCCCTCTCTCCACTCTTTCACAAAAAGGACTATTACACACAATAATGACTGCATTTCCTTTTTGAGTGTGTGTGTGTGTGTGTGTGTGTGTGTGTGTGTGTGCGTCTGTGTGTGTGTGTATGCATTTAGCGTCGGTTTCTACTCAAGTGTATACTGTGTGTACATACCTAGCCCCCGTGTATGCTGTTCATATATGTGTGTGTACAACAGTCACCGCATACACTGGCACATACATCACTACTGAGTATTTATATATATCCGTGATTTCATGGGCGTGTTGGTGTATGTGTATATTTATGTTGTGAAATATATATAGTAGGTCACACACACACACACACACACACACACACACACACACACACACACACACCTGTCCCAGTAGTGACTTATGCACCTTGAAAACTCCAATGATACCCAGGTTAATTTGCTCATTAGTTACCTCATTTATAATTACCTTTAATATTCTTAGGTCAATTAATTATCCATTAGTTTTTTTCTTGTGTAATTATCACATTATTTTAGGATTAATACGATCAGTTAATTTTTTTGTTTGGGTGTTAATTATTTACTTGTGTGGGGCTGTGTCTAATGCTCTCTGAGTGGCTGGCGTGTTAAGCTTTCTGAGTGGCTAGCGTGTTAAGCTCTCTGAGTGGCTAGTGTGTTAAGCTCTCTGAGTGGCTAGCGTGTTAAGCTCTCTGAGTGGCTATTGTGTTAAGCTCTCTGAGTGGCTATTGTGTTAAGCTCTCTGAGTGGCTAGTGTGTTAAGCTCTCTGAGTGGCTAGTGTGTTAAGCTCTCTGAGTGGCTAGTGTGTTAAGCTTTCCTGAGGGCTAGCGTGTTATGCTCTCTGAGTGGTTAGTGTGTTAAGCTCTGAGTGGCTAGCGTGTTGCCTTCTGAGTGGCTAGTGTGTTATAAACCTCTGAGTGGTTAGTGTGTTAAGCTCTCTGAGGGCTAATGCCTCTGAGTGGCTTAAGCTCTCTGAGTGGCTAGCGTGTTAAGCTCTCTGAGTGGCTAGTGTGTTAAGCTCTGAGTGGCTAGCGTGTTAAGCTCTCTGAGTGGCTAGCGTGTTAAGCTCTCTGAGTGGCTCGTGTGTTAAGCTCTCTGAGTGGCTATTGTGTTAAGCTCTCTGAGTGGCTAGCGTGTTAAGCTCTCTGAGTGGCTAGCGTGTTAAGCTCTCTGAGTGGCTAGCGTGTTAAGCTCTCTGAGTGGCTAGCGTGTTAAGCTCTCTGAGTGGCTAGTGTTTTAAACTCTCTGAGTGGCCTGTGATTTAACCTCCAGTGACCTCTAATGACCTCCCATTAACTTCAGCCTCAAGAGCTCTGGAAAGTTGGTTATGATACCGAGATGAGTGACGTCAGACGAGACGACTCTCTCTCTCTCTCTCTCTCTCTCTCTGACGTCACGTTCACACATGTATTTGAAAAAATATTAATGAAAAAAAAACAAATAACGTAAAAACATTCGTATGAAAAATGTTTATGTCGTCCGTAATGAGTTTGTTT